GAAAGTAGACCTCATGGAACCAATTGAAGGCCTTAATAGAAAAAGACTGACCTCCCAGGAGGAGGAGGGAGCTCTGTCAGCAGACTGCCTTGGACTTGAACTGCAACATCAGCTTTTCTGGGTATCCAGCCTGCTGGCCTACCCTGCAGATTTTGGATTTGTCAGCCTCCTTCTATAACCTCATGAGCCAATTTCTTAAAATAAATCTAGCGTACTATAAATACAAATATAGTACCATGTGTATAATTACAAATATACACATACACATCCTGTTGGTTCTGCTTTTCTGGAGCACCCTGACAAATATAGGATTCTTTGTATTGCCTTTTGAACTAGTGGGCTGTGCTCTCAACCTTCCATTATGTAGAGTGTTCGTTTTTCACTTCCTGGTTATCCATGAAAACACTAGGCTTACATTTAGTGAAATATTCCTTTAGTTATCCATGAAAACGCTAGGCTTACATTTAGTGAAATATTCCTTTTTCCTTTATAGATTTTGTCTTCATTAATTATCTTTATAGCCTACATGTATATTGCTCTCTGAGCTTCAAATTTCTTGTGTAAAAATATGAAAAGTGGATGGATACTCTCTTACTTGTTTCTGCCTTACTTACTGGAACATTTGGTACAAGAATTAATGATAATTTGTGTTAAGTTTTATATTGTCTGTAACTTCCAATTACTTTAGCATATAGATCACAATATTTATAGGTTTAACTTTGTTTTATGAGTCTTCAGTTAGCATTCCAAAACACCAGTCAGGTATCCTCACTCTAGGTTTATTAACATTAGAGTTGTTACAAATAATTGGTGAAACGTGCAATATTGAAAATATATGGATTGCGCCGAAACCGGTTTGGCTCAGTGGATAGAGCGTCAGCCTGCAGACTGAAAGGTCCCAGGTTCGATTTCTGTCAAGGGCATGTACCTTGGTTGCGGGCACATCCCCAGTAGGGGGTGTGCAAAAGGCAGCTGATTGATGATTGTCTCTCATCCATGTTTCTGACTCTCTATCCCTCTCTCTTCCTCTCTCTGAAAAATCAATAAAATATATTAAAAAAAAAAAAAGAAAGAAAGAAAAGAAAATATATGGATTGTCCTTAGAAATATTTTCTCTTAATGGACTTGGAGTCAGACTAGGCCAGCAAGCTAATAGCTTTTGGAGTAACACCTAACTCTAGTACTCATTTGGTACTGTTTTCTGATATGTAGGATTCCGTTATTGAGTGATTCAATTAGGAGGTTAGACACATTCTATCATAGAATACTATCACAAACCGCTTTAGGTACACCTTCATGGAGGGAAGCTGTCGGAATATCTTAAGGTCAGACATCTGGGTTTTTACTGAGCTAACATGATAAAGCTGTGAGTTTGTTTTTTCATCTTTCTGCTCATCGATGTTTTTGTATGCAACAGAAAGCCCTCACTCATTTAGAATCTTTGGAGACCTGCAATGTTTACCTACAAATGCCTGGTCAATGTGAATTCCAGGTACATAAGTTTGCAACAAGAACCTAACATATTCCCTGGCACACAGTAGGCATTAAAAAATTATCCCTCTTACTGTCATAAGTCAGTGAGCTGGCCTTGGTTCTGGGGAAAGAAAAAGAAAGCTGAAGTTATTCATGATTCTAAAGCTTCCAGGATCCTTCTTTCAGAGGATGGTTTTTTGCCTTTTTTTTTTTTTTTTTTTTTTTTTACGACGTGGACTATCTTGTCTATGCTCTCTTGGTCTCAATTTAGAGTCTCTGTAGCAGAGCCACTAAAATCATGTGAAGGTGAGTTGGAATTCTACCAGGGAAGCTTATGGTAAGTGAGCTTGGCTGGTCTCCAAGAGCACGCTGTGCCAAGCCATCATCTGAAACGCAGCATGCTAGAACCTGGGACATTGTCCATCTTTGATGTGTCAAGAAGATGAAGCAGAACCCAGAGGACAGGTGGAACTGAGACCTCGTGGGAGCACTGTGGGAGATTCCTTCCAGTCAATATTTACAGAAAATTCTGAATTTATTTTGACCTGCATTGATTAAAGAAAATGTGTCATAGGAAGTAAAGGAAATACGTTTTTTTTCTCCTTATTTAAAAAAAAAAAAAAGTTGCTGCTGTTTTGAAAATTTTTTAAAACACTAGCTACCTGAAAGGTGAAAAAGAATGATTCTAGTTGAAATCTTATAAGAAGCTAATTTTAACTTTTTCATAGCTTTGGATTACTGGGTGAGGAATGTCATTGCTAACTGCATTTGTAAACTTGTTACCTCTAACAGCCTGCCTCTGCCACAAAGCGAGGGACAAGGTCTTGTTTTGTTTCTTTTGACAAAGGAACAGGAAAATATAACTCGCTGGCCTTCAAACAAGCAATCTTAAATTTAAACATCCTTTTGTTTGCTTTTCTCAGTCAAATAACACAGGAACCATGTGAAGGTGACTGAACTTCATATGTATTTTTTGATGATGTTGAATATGAGGGACCAGGATGCTCTTGCCCTTTAGAGTTTTTGCATTGCCTTAATATAATGATTATTATCTGAGTAACTAACTGATTAACTATCTGAGTAACTATCCATAGTTTGCAAAGCAGTTATGATAACATAAATAAAATGGTAGAACAATTGTAAATATATTTAAAGAATGAAGACCTATTGATGAAACCCGCAATTTCTACCAAGGTCAGCTTACTGGCATGTCTGAGGTTCTTCGTGGTCAAGGCCAAACAGAGCATGCGGGTGCTGAGCCACTGCGTGCTGACAGTGCACAGCTCTGGACACAGATAGGGATTTGCAACACCGTATCCATGACAGTGATTTAACTCAAGGAAATCTCAGGATAAAACCTATTTCATCTTGTATAGGTGCCGGTTAATGAAAATTGGTTTTTAAACACTTAGAATTCAATGCCTTTAGGAGATTGCCTGCAGTTATTTATAGGAATTTAGTCAATGTATTGGGGCACATTCAATAACAAATATTGCCTTGATATACAACTTATAGAATCACAGTTTTTGATAAAATTTCAGTTGTAACAGTCTAATTTTTTTTTTTTTACATGAAAGAAACATTCAGATAGTTCCTCCAACATGCTCTCTCAATGGAAGCTGTATTTAAGAGGGGCATTAGGCCTTACCATCTCGCTACTCTGGCAATGATTTAACAAAGCAGTTGTTACAGAAAAAGTGGGAAGTCTTTGTGGTACATATTTTAATCTGATTTTATGAATAATATAGTTTAGGGAACAGAGTTGCTTTCACTGTTTTTCTGTAAGATACAGCTGATGCTTAATAAAATCTGGCCTGAAAGTAGCCCATTGTTATATGGAGAGTTGTTTCTGAAATTGTTATCAACTTACCTTGGTTTTGAAATTTTAACTTCTTACTTAAGATGGCATGAGATATTGACCACTGCTTTCTTCTTGCTATAGACAGAAGGGAATCACTCTTTTGTCACCACAGGCAACACACCGTACAATGGATGGGGCTTAAAGTGGTGGCCCTCCATGCACATATCCTATATAGCATTGACTTTTCTTCACGTCATTCAGTCATTTGCTATAGCATTTCTAGAATCTGTAGCTTTGTAGAAGGTCCTCTCTAGTCTGTTAAACATTGGCTCATATATTTTTTTAGCACTCTTAGAATTTTTTGTTCTTAATAATCTGAATTTAACGTTTGTTAATGATGTGAAATAGGGGTATTTTCAGATGGATATCTCATTCTTTCCCATTTAGGAATGTGACGTTGTGGTGTTTATTATGGTAGAGAAAAAACAAGTAGCATGAAAACATTTTGAAAGTTGAGAAGAGAATTCTGGTACAGATCCTATAAATGACATGATTTTGAGACATATATACCATTAGGAATCACACTACGTCTGCTTTTGTATTTGCAATGTGTATTCCTGGTTTATAGGTTGTCATGTATAGTACACAAGAGTTGCCAATTTGTCATTAATGTGTGTGTAAAGCACACTTGGACTGTCAGTGCTGGCTTTGTAGGCAGTGGACATGATTTCTCCTCGTACCTTCCGTTCTGCTTTCTATTTTTATTGTAGTTTTTTGTGATATTAAAAAACAACTCATTCCTAGTTTTTAAAATTTTGGGGGACATTACAGAATTTTTAAGACATAGTTCATGAACTTAAAAATTATTGAATTTAATTGAAAAAATGTCAGTTTTTATTATTTCTATTAATTGGACTTGATGAATAAGTTCCTTTTAAATTAAGCAAGGGATTGATTACTTATTTCAGTTACTTTTCAAGTAAAACAAATATTTCAGCAGAAACAGACTTTCAAATTTCTTATGACTATGTCTAAAGACCACATTCAGTCTTTCAAATTGTTTAGGTAGGAAAGAAAGAGCTGGCAACTTACTATTTGTCCTGATGCTGTTGAGTAAGGTTTTGATAGCCATTACATAAACAAGTTCAATGAGAATTTAATTTAAATCTACATGCAAGTGAAATGAGAGATGACAAATGAGGGCTTACCACGCATAATTCTAATACAGTATAGAATAGAAATCAATTTCATTGATTCTGTGATTGAAAAACAATTATGATGCTGACAACCTACAGTGTTCGGGCTTGTTTAAGTCATGCTGTGAAATGGGTTCAGTGTGGGTGTTTGCTTAGATAGCTTCACAATGTTTTGCCTTAGTTGTATCAGGAGCCAGCGTTACAGCTCATATGTATACTTCGATTCTATAAAAAGAAATTAATGTTGCCATCCAAATAATGTTTTCTGTGGCTCCTCTGGTTTCTGAAATAGTTAAAAGTGGTAGAATGACTCATACATTTTTAAAATTACTGAGATATGTTTATTCTCATTCATTCTTCGTCTTAACATCTCAATTGATTTTTTTTTAAACAAAACAGTTACTTAGATGAAATTCATGATACAAAATTTTTAACTTAATGTACGTTTAGACATTTAGATTTTTCTTTTTTTGTAATTAAGAAAACCATCCTTTTGGGATCATCATCTTTTTGTTGATCTTTTCCTACAGGTTTTCAGCACATACTCCAATGAAGACTATGACAGGAGAAATGATGAAGTTGACCCTGTAGCTGCTTCAGCTGAGTACGAACTTGAAAAGCGTGTAGAAAAGTTGGAACTTTTCCCAGTGGAACTGGAGAAAGGTATATGAGCTCTACATCATTTGTGATATTATTATATTCCTATACTAATAATACAGAAATGACTTAATTTTTCCCAAGTATAGCTGTTTTCTTCCCTAAGGATTGGGTCAAATTTTAATTTTCATGCGGGAGTTTATTAAATTTCAAAACTAGTTGATATAAATTCTTTATAGATGGTGGATTGAAAGATTCTCTCTAGCTGTCCACTCCCAACTGGAACTTATCAACTTTAGTTGGCTGGGTAGTGGTTAGGAGTAGGGAGGCCTGAATGAGGCCTGATGCTTGGTCAGTAATTCTGCAAAGGGCTGGCGAGGTGAGAGCCCAGAGAGAGCTGCTGGAGAGTGGGGAGCAGGTGGTGACTTTTTTGTTTGTTGGTTTGGTTTGGGAGGGGAGGAAGAGTGGTCATGGTTAGACTCTGAATATGGTGGATATGACGAGTACTGGGCTTTCAGAAAATTATGGATTTTTGATATAATGGCAACGGACCACTCTTCATCTCTGAGGAGAAAGGCTAACAGAGAGCAGGCAGACGGGGGAGCAGAGGGACTTCCTGCTGAATTATCTTCCTGGAATCACAGTCCACCTATTGCAGTAACTGGGGACTCACTGGACCAGAGGCCGCCATGTTTATTGTCATGTAAGTCAGGAAGCTGAGAACTAGACTCTGACCAATGAACAGAAGACTGTCACATCTCAAAGTTTTAGGAAAAAGCCCAATAGATGACAACTTGAATAACAGAAAGAAAGCAAAAAAAATCACAAACGGGGGAAAAAAAAGTAAATCAGTATATTCAAGTATGGCTTTAATCAAATTTACAGTACCATAAAAATATAATGATTTTTTAAAATAAAAATGTCAGTAGAGGAATTGAAGAGGAAATGATGATTTTGTTGAGATTAAATTGGTGACAAAGAAATTCAAGCATAAGAAATGTCCCAAACTAATTCTCAAATGACAGAGCAAAAATCCAAGGAAAATTACAGAGACTCGCCATACAAAGAAAGGGAAATGGCAATAGAGAGTGAGAGATAAAGAGGAAAATTTCCTGAGCTCAAAAACAACTTGATCCTTGTATTTGCAAGGACTTAGCCAACTGACTGCAGGGACTTAAAGAAAAAATCCACATCTAAGCACTGGCTGGACAAACACAATTTGTAAACGAACTAAAAACAAGATGTTTTTTGTCAGTATCTTTCATGGGGCCAATAAAATGGAAACAAAAGTGAATGCCTGTCACTAGGGGAAAATGGTCAGATATGTTATCATTCTGTCCACCGTGAAATATTACACAATCATTAGAAGGGATTTGAAGCTATGTTAAGTTGATACTCATGACGTATTATTGAATTAGAAAAGTAAGCTGGAGAGAAAAGTAGGTGTCATATGACCTTATTTGTGTAAAGCAAATAGGAAAGAAAAGCAAGCCATATATACACTGTAGTTTTTGATATGTTTCTATCCTTGATGGCAGGACAGAGAAAGTAATGGAAGACACATACCATCTTAACATGAATGGTGATCTGGAACAAGTAAAAACAATCCATATAAGTAAATGGGAAATTCTAGATACATTGTGATCACATTTATTTAAAATAACATATGGCTCAGCCAGGAAAAATTCAGCCAGAATGGTCAATCTAGAGTTATATTACTAAATTATTGAACCTCAAAGAAAGTTTTTTGTGAAAGAGGACAACAAAAATTGAATAAGTAATGTAAGTGAAATCAGACAAGCCTCCGAGTGACTAAAAGACAATAGAGAAAGCTGAGGTGGGTAGGTGGGTGGGAAAAGATTAACCAAAGAACTTGTATTCATATATGCATAACCCATGGACATATACAATAGTGTGGTGAAGACCTGATGAGGAGTTGAGTGTGGTTAGAAGGAGTCAATGGGGGAAAATCGGGGGACATTTCTAATATTTTCAACAATAAAGATAAATTTTCTAAAAAGGCAATAGAACATTCTTTTCTCAGGAAAAGAAAGTTTGAATCAAGAATTTTATTACCCTGCCAATATAAACAAACAAAGCAAACAAATAAAAGAATATATACCATAAGTATTTAATTGTGTATGCTTTTGTGCTTAAAATATTAATTTATATTGTTTAAAGGGGCCACGTTTTAAGGCAGATTAATCACTCAGTAATCAAATTATTACCTTTTTTTTTTTAATCACAGTAAATAGCTAACTGTAATAGTAACAAACTAAACTCATGAGCCTTTGGGGGTTCTCATTTGACACCCTTGCTCCCCTGGATAGGAAAAAGCTTCTCTAAGGCAAGCATATATGATATGGACTATGTGATAATCCATAAAGAACATAATTAAAAGGAACAAATAGGCCTCACCAGTTCATTGCAGAGTAGTGTAACACTTAGATTCTTGTATCTTTACCCGTTTTCACAGATGAGGATGGACTTGGCATAAGTATCATTGGAATGGGTGTTGGAGCAGATGCTGGACTTGAAAAGCTGGGGATATTTGTCAAGACAGTAACAGAAGGCGGTGCTGCTCAGCGGGATGGCAGGTAAGCTAGTCGCTGCCTTTGACCACTAAAGTCTAGGAAACTTTTCTGGGAATTTCTTTTTTTTCAGTTTTCTTCTTATGATTATTTAGGACAGAAGGTCAGTGTATCTCATATGTAGAAAATGTTAAAAACTTGATTATTTTCTGACTTGTAGGCAGAATACCTGATGAAAATGGGTGGATAGATCTATTATCTATGTCTAACTTGATATCCAACCATTTATCTATTTACCTAGTAGGAAGTGGGCAGAAACATGGATGTATATAGTTTAAGAATATGTTCTGTGGAGATCAGCATACTTTTACCTCAGAAATATCAAAACATTGGTTGGCTGCCTCCTGCCTGGCCCCTACTGGGGATTGAGGCTCAGACCTGGGGCATTGAACCTGTGACCAGAAGTTGAACCAGTGACATCTCGGTGCACAGGATAGCATTCAGTCAACTGAACCACACTGGCCAGAGCTAGATCTTCTTTATAGTTCCTTTTAACTTCAAAAGGATAAGAGTGTGTATTATACCTTTCTAGCTTGCCTTAGTTTTTAAATAACTTTTCCTTATTTAAAAGAAACTCTTTTAATTTAATCTCAGATTTGGTCAGACTATTTTCAAGGGATGTTAAAAAAAATATATAGAAAATTCTTTTCTCCCTCCTTTCTACCCCAACACAAGAAGCCTTCTTATTGTGATTGCTTTCATCCCTTATGAACATCTCGAACTCTTACCACATTTTAAGTACTTTTATAAATCTGCCGTGGATGTGTATCTCCCATGTCATCCAGGATAGTTGAAAAGTTTTGACTCCGTCTTGTTCTTTGATATTATGCTCTAATTTCTAAATTTTCTCGTCAAGCTTTTCATGTCTGTGTATATTTTCAAAGAGTGTTCAATAAATATCTGTTGAATGAGTGAATCCTAGTGCTTCAATCACTTTCAGAATGTTTACTTGGGCCTAACATTTTTCTTTTTATATTTCTTCTCTTCGTACCTTTCCTTCTCCCTCTCCCCTTCTTCTCCCCCCTTCTTTTTTCTTTCTTTCTTTTTTTTTTCTCCTTCTTTCTTCCTCTTTGTGCAACCTTGCCTCTTACACCGGGTAGCTTGTAATTTAGCTGGGTGACATGATAGCTATTTCCACCTTCTGTTTTTATTCTAATTTTATAGTAAAATAATATTAAATATAGTAACCATTAGTTTTTGCTGCCATAAATTTTATGATTGTACACAAAACACATTAACACACTATTTATCCAGTCCTGTTTAATGAACCTATAAAAGCAAAATGCATTTCACAATAACCCAATTGAAAATACTGGTGGAATAAATTACGTGGGTGATAACTGACAAAAAGATGGTAGCAATGCTGTGTTACAGAGGCAAATTAAAAACGTTCTTGCAATCTGCTTTGTTTTTGTCTCTTCTGGTTGTTTCTCAGCCTTTTGGATACCATCATTTTACAGCACTGTTCTTTCAGGTTTGGGGAGGGGGAATATCAAAAGTGAAATTAAGGAACTTTGTAATTTATCCTTATTCAAGTGTTGGTTTTCAAATAATTTGAGTTGTTTTTGACCATCTGTTCAGTAACACCAACATATCAAACAGGTGAAGAGTGTTATTCTCATGATTATCCTGCTGCAAACTCTCCCTCCCATCGGGCCCCTCAGTGCTCCTCAAGCCTGCGAGGACCCTGAATGGAAACTGCCGTTCTAATGGTGCCCATCTGCCATAATTCATTAGTCCATGGTTTCCTCCGTGCACACACTCCTGTGTCTCTCTTCTAGTCAGATATTTTGCTCGTTTTCCCCCCTGAGCTAGTTGGCGTATTACTGCTTTGATAGGTATGTATTCTCATATGCATTCAGAGCTTCGCTATCTGGCATTTTGGGGAAGACTCTGTTGACCATTACTGTTGCTCCAGCTGGTTTCCCGTTCACTCGTTGTTGGTTGCTTTGTTTGCATAAGCCCAGTGAGGTAGAGTTTTTGTTTTTGTTTCCCCTTGCCCAATATGTCATGTAAGTAAATAACTACCCAGTAACATTAAACAAATCCCAGAACATTCCAACTTACATATTTTATTAGCCTTACCCCCTTGGTACTGATTTATAGATTCAGAATTGAGGGTTATCAGAAATGTCAGACTGCAGCTGAAGAGCAGTCGTGTTGCACACGTGTTTGCTAGCACATGGAAACTGTTGAAGAAATGGCCAGTACTAGATGCTGTTTTTGATCAGTCAGGTACATTCCCATGCATTCCATCCCACGGTCACTGTTCCAGGGGCAAATAGGCTATTTTCCCTGCTGTTGTGGGAAAATGTGGAAAATCCAAATTATACATATTCTTCGTTGTGGGTTGGTCTGATGCAGAGAGTTGTTTATTTAATTTTTACTGCCAGGACTCATCCCTTGGCTTTTTTTGCTTCTAATTATGAGCCAAGACTTGAGAGACTTGAGAGGGCTTTTCAGTGTTACTATTCTGTGAGGTTGCATGAAAGGTTATTCTTTTTCAGGGAAATAACAATCACTTCTTCAAGCCATCCTCAATTCAATATACACACTCAAGTTTTATGTATTTTCAGTGTGTTCTTTCTGGTGGATACTTTTTCTGGGAAAACAAAAAAATCATTTCATTAGCTCATCTTCACAATTAGTTTTTCTGTCACTATTGTTCTAACATAGCTTCACTTATCCATATTAAACTTGAACTTGTGGCCTACTTAACTAACTTCTATTTAACCTGAACTGGCAGATAGGGACTTAATAATTGCCTATCATATGCAAGCAATTTAGCAGACTAGCAAATATCATTTTCCATAGCTACACACACTATTTTTACTTCTTAAAATGCAAGGATGAATGCATTTTTTTAAAATATAATGCAAAGTTGTAGTAACTTTGTAACACTTTAGCATATGCGGAGTTGAATATATAGTCATGTGCCACTTAACTATAGAGATACATTCTAAGAAATGCATCATTAAGTGATTTTGGCATTGTGCGAGCACAACTGTAAATAGTATATACTATACTCACAGGCTTTATGATATATGTTTGATATAAAACTGGTTAATATTCCACTGAGATATAAACTATGCCTTTGAGATTATCTTTTCTAACAGAAGAAATGTATTCAACTTTTTTTAGGACAAACATCTACAAATTAACATGCAACTACAGTATATCTAGGACTTTCAGTTAATATTAAACAGTAAATCAATTAAAATACATTCCCCTAAATTATCCTTCGTTGGGCCTGTTAAGTAATGCATGTTCATGACATTGAAAGGAAATGTTGCCCTTCTTTTATTTCTATTTCTAAACTTTGAATAATTTTTCTTATCACATTTACCTAGGGTGATTGTAGTAGCACTCAATTTTTATTGATGGAAAGAGTCAATATGATAAAGATACCAGTTTCCCATAAATTAATCGTAAAAGTCAGTATAATCTTATTAAAATACCCACTAGTGTGTGTTTTTATAGAACGTGGCAAGTAAATCTAAAACTAGTTGTGAAGAGATGCTCAAGAATAGCTCAGAAGTTTTTGAAAGCCATGAACTAGGTAAAGAAATTGCCCAACAAATGTCAAAACCAGTTATGAAGCAATGTAGTATGCAAAGATAGACAAATAGACACGTAGGAACTAATAGAGAACCAAAACATGTTGATGCACATTTGAAAACCATTACAAATCAGTGGAGTAAAAAGCAGACTCTTTATTAAATGTTAAGCCAATTGTTTATATTTTGGAAAAAATAAAAACAGATTGCTAACACATTATAATAAAAATAATAATATCTAGGTGGATATCTACCTAAATGCAGAAAAACAAGGTGGTTAAAATATTTAGAAGAAACTGTAGGATAATTTTATAATATCGAGGCAGAGAAAGATTTCTTAACAAAACACAAAAACCGCTTAATATAAAGTTAAAATTATAAATGTAATTTGTGTATACATCATTAAATTGTTTGCCTCAAAACCACCGTTTTCCAGAGAAATGTGAAAAGACAAGCTACAGATTGGGGCAAAAGTATTTGCTACGCATCTAATTGAGACGGTTATTATGCAGTATATAGGAAAACATATTATGTAAACCAATAAGAAAAAAAAAGACACAACCCAACATCAACAAAAAATGAGTAAAAGGCATGATCTAACAACAGTGTGCAAAACTGAACAGTTGACTTGTGAACATATGATAAAACATTCAGCCACACAAGTAACCAGGGAAATGCAATTAAAATCACAATGTGTATCTTTTTACACGGACAATATCAGCAGCAATAGGTGAAGGGTGTGAATATACCAAGTGTTGGGGAGAGTGTGGAGAGTCAGAGCCTTTCTATATATTGCTGCTGAGAATATGCATTGGGGTAACATTTGGAACTCAACGTTATCGGTTTGTTCAGGTCGAAAAAGCCTCTGTTCTTTGACTCAGGAGTTCTCCTTCTAGGTATACATCCTGGAGAAACGTGTGTAAAGAAACATGTACGAAATTGATTATTACAGTAGTATTCATAATGGCTAAAACTTAAAATAATATACTTGTCCATCTGCACAAAATGGATGAATAAATTTTGGTATATTCATAAAAATAATACTATATGGTTATTAAAGTGAACTAGCTAAAATTGCATTTATAACCATGGATAAATCTCATATATAGCGTTGAGTGAAGCAAACTAAGTTGTAGAAAAAGAGATTTATAATGAAATTTGAAAACTGGAAATGTACACGTATTATGCCTATTTGTGCATATGTGTTATTTGTATTTCAAAACATCAGTAGAAAGGCTAACCATCAAAGTCAGTATGATGGTTACCTAACCCTTGTGGAAGCAGAGAAGGGAATAGGATGAGACAAGTAATAAAGAGGCTTCAGCTTTTCTGTAATAAATTTATTTAGAAAAAAATTGACTCAAATATTGCACAGTGCTAAGATCACATAAAATTGGATTATTGGTGCATGAGTGTTTATTATCTAATTCCCTCTGTATTTCTCTGTGATTGAAATACTTCATTTTGAGTAATTAAAATGTGTATATATATACATATATATATAACATGTATGTAAATTTAAAAGCATGATACACCAAACAACACTCATACTGTATATTGCTTCTAAACAAAATACACAAACACACACACACACACACACACACACACACCTTTATGTAAGTATATATATAAATTTGTATACGTGAAGGATTCCCTGCAATTCTTGTTGTTCTTTCTTGGAGAGGAGAGATGGGACAAGGTATGAAGCCTAAAGGGTATGTAAGATGCATTTGTTATATTTTAAGAAATTTTAAAGACAAAAAAAGATATAAATATGTCATACATTAACAGTTATCAACTCATTGTGATAGCAATATGGATGTTGGATAAAGTGAATCTCTTCATTTAGTATTGCCTATTTCTGTTCTTCAAAATAATCTTTTAAAAATATTAAGCATTTGACTAAGATATAGAGCTTCTTATATATAAAAGACAAATTTTGTATTAAGATTATCTTAAAAAGTAGGTATTTTGTCAACTAATTTATTGTGATGGAAATATATTATTGTAAAAATTAAACATGGATAATTTTTTTCCTCTTCCCAAAGAATACAAGTCAATGACCAGATTGTAGAAGTGGATGGAATCAGCTTGGTGGGCGTCACACAGAATTTTGCTGCAACAGTTCTCAGAAACACCAAGGGCAACGTCAGGTAAACATGTGGCTTCAGTCTGTACAATTTCATTACTTGATGTTTTGTTTAAATTTTCTATGATTATACTTATAGATATATATAATTATAATGAGAAGTTTAACTAAATGCTAAAATTTTGCCTTTAGTTTTTTATTTTTCTTTCATTTAATTAGTTCATGCAAATGTAATTTAAAACTAAAAATTATAGTATTCTAGAAAGACATGAAGATAAGGAGTATACAGCATAAATCACTATGGTTAGTTATTGAGCTTTTTTAGTGTGCATTATTGCTAATACAATAAGAATTGCTATGACAATAGAATTTCTAGTTCTGTCCTCAATAAATAAGACATTTGTCCTCAAATCCTCTTAATAAAATCAGTTACACAGTAAATTGAAATTATATATATATATATATATACACATATATTTAATGATACATATTATTTAGATAAGCAGACTGAATGATTTGAGGTTAATGCTTTAAAAATATTTTTATTTTAAAGAGACAGATAAAATTACACTTTGGTAAACTATTACTTTTCCAACTTTAATAGGATAGAGGGTGCATTCTTTTGGACCTTAAAATTTATACCCCATCTTGGGGTTCTGAAAATGGTAGCGTGGAAAACAAATATACTTAAAAGTAGTCTTGAGTCAACTAAGGTCAAACTTCGAAATTTGTTTATTTGGCCATAAGGTACTTATTTTTAAATATAATATTGCTATATCTTATACTTCTCCAAATATCCTATGAAAGGATTCATAAGGGGACATTATTTAGTATGTGTAATTATGAAAGTGTTTTAGTGTTATCATCAAAATTAAATGGCCAAATGTTCTGAAAATATTGATGAGTTAATTGATCTAAAGAGAGTCAATTATGATTTAATTGCAGCATATTTTATGTTGCAGAGGCGTGAGTTTAAGAATTTAGAATTTTTTAAGTTGGAAAGCACCCATTAATACTGAAGGGAATGTTTAAGAAATACAACTTCAATAACTTTTATGTTTATGTTTCAGGAATACCCATAGTTCTGAGAAAGTATGTAAAATAATTGGCAAGAGTACACGTGATTATCTTTCAGGACTGTCGTATATCAGTATACAACTTGGTTTGAAGTTGTCCATTAGAACTTAAAGTGAATTTAAAAGTGAATTATGCATTAAAATTTGTGGTTACATGAAATCATAGTCATTCCTTTCTCTTCATAATTCTGCACTGTTATTTCAAGCTTTGTACAGATCACCAAAGATTTCTCAACTGGTCATCCTGATTACTAATCTCCCTTTTTGAAACTCTCCTTCTCATTCTTATCCCTAAAGGACAAATACAATCGCAGTATTTCACATATATGAAGGGTTATGGGAAAAGGCTATTGACTCATTCTGTGTATCTCTAGTAGTACAAATAAAACCTGTGGGTAGAAATAGTGATTCTGCATCCATCATGTTCCTCTCTTCAGAAACCTTCAATGGCCCTCCACTCTGGGCAGAATCTAAGTTCTCTATCCTGGTATTAAAAATCTTTCATCACCATATCTTATCATTTATCTCTTTCTATTTTCATGGTCTGGTTCAATCAATACTAGTGTAGTCATTATCCTTCAAAAATAACTTGTGAATATTTTTGTGTGCCTTTTTCTCTGGCATCTTTTGCTGTTCAAAATACTGTTTAGAACCTAGTTATCTTAAAGATCGTATTTCAGATTCTTTCCTCTCCAAGAAGTACCCCTTCACCTCACACTCCCTGGTTATCTCTTCTTTCTGGTGCTCTAACCTTTCATTCCACTTTTTTTTTTTTTAACCTTGAGATGATAGCACATTCTTCTTTCCTCTTCTAAAGGCATATATCTTATTTCCTAGCTCTCTCTGCAAAAATCTTGATATCAAAAGGGGATCTTTAGGGTCCTTTGTTCCCCCAAATTATTTAACCCTGGATCTCAATTGCATCTTTTCTCAACTTTAACTTATTAAAAATAATATTTTAATCCATTGAATATATTTTATGCAGCATTTCTTCATAAGGTATTAATATAAAAGCAGGATCCAAAAATTAGATCTGTAGTTTTATTTAAAAACTTCTAATTGCCTAACCTATATGGCTCTGTGGTTGAGCATTGACCTATGAATCAGGAAGTCACAGTTCAATTCTCAGTCAAGGCACATGCTTGGATTGCAAGCTCCATCCCCAGTGTGGGGCATGCAGAAGGCAGCCAATCAATGATTGTCTCTTGACATTGATGTTTCTATTTCTCTCTCTCTCTTTTCCTCTCTGAAATCAATAAAAAATATATTTTTAAAACACTTCAATTTGAAAAAAACCTATAATCTTTTTGATAGTTGATTTGTTTTGAAAATATTGTTAAAATAAAGTGAAAAAGCAATATAAAGAATGTAACTTACAAAATGTAATATAGTTAGAAAGTTAGAGTAAAGTTTTGTTCTCATTGTCAGATCCTTTCTTTGGTAAAAATAAACATTTTTTTATATGAAAATAATTTAAATAGTTTAGATTCAGTTCATTTGAATCAGCAGATTTATCTCCTATTCACAATTGACTTTTATATTAAAACATACTAAAATTATGCTTCACTTGGAAATCCTAAAAAGAACCTTATATTTGTTGGCCAAAAAAACCCACAAAACTATTTTAAACTCAAAATTATTAATTTATTAGAAAAAAATAATAGGTTGTAGTTCAATCACTGGTTGTATACCTATGGAAAGAAGACAGAAATCATCAGATATTCACAGTCTGATTCAAGATTGTACAAAACTACCTTATATTTATGCTCAGATATAGAATTTAGCCTTCTGTGATAGCATTTTGCTAGCAATAGTCCAAATTTGGTTCAATATCTTGTGTTATATCTTTGTGGGCAAGAGAAAAATGTGTTTTGAATTATGAGATAGGTAAAAAGAATAGGTGCTAATTCTGTTACCATATCAAAATCAGAATGAGGCATTAAAAGAAAAATCATTACATACCAATGCTTTTCGTGAACTTAGATACAAAAATCCTTAACAGAATTTTAGCACATTGAAATCAGGAAGTTATACAAGTATGATAATTTATGGCCAAGTGACATCTTTGGAATGCATGGTTGATTTAATGTTTGAAATTCAACCTACGGAATTTCATAAGGGAAATTCCTCAATGTGATAACTAGCAGCTCAAGTGAACTGACAGCTAATATTACATTTAATGATGAAAGACCAAACGCTTTCCCCTTATATTATACTAGGATGATGCAAATATGCCCACTGTCTCCACTTCTATTCAAGTTGTCTTGGAGGTCATAGCTTATTCAGTGAAGCAAGAATAAGAAATGGAAAACACTTAGATTTTAAAAGGAAGAAGTAAGACTTTGTTCACAGACAACATGGTCATCTCTGTAGAAAATTATATGGAATCTACAAAAAATGCTACTAGAACTGATAAGTGAGTCAAGCAAGGTTTTAGGAGATAGGCTGTTGTACAGAAATTAATTCTACTTCTATAGACTAACATTAACAAATAATTAAAAGTTCAACTAATAGCATTCATAATAACAACAAAAACACTTAAGGATAGTCTGGCATAATACACTGAATATATCAGCAAAATTCTGAGAAAATAAAGACAACTTAAATGAGTGAAGAAATACACTCCATGTTTATGGGTCAGAATACTCAATATTGTTAAGACTTCAATTTCCCCCCAAATCTATAGATTAAGCACAATCTCAACAAAACTCTCAGAAGGCTCCTTTCTTTGGTAGAAATAAACAATTTTTAAAAAGAACAAAGTAGGGTATTTTTGCTGCCTGACAACTGCACTAATCACAGCAGTCTTGTTTAGGCATAATGATAGAAATATAGATTAATGGAATAGAATAGGGAGTTTCAATATAGACCTGCATAGACATAAACAATTGGTTTTTGACTAATACCCCAAGGTAATTTAGTGGGAAAAATTATAATTTTTTAAAAATTGGTGCTGAAAGAATTGGATAACTACATTAGAAAAAGCAAAGAACAAAATGTGGCCTTCCTTCCACAGTCCATACAAAAATAAACTTAAGATTAATCATAGACTAAAGTGCAGCAGCTAAAACTAAAATTTATAGAAAACAGGCAAAAATCTCAATGATCTTGGGTTAGTCAAGGATCTTTTAAGACATAAAAGAACGAAATGGTAAACTCATCAAAAATTTAAACATTTGTTTTGGAAATACTGTTAAGAAAGTGAAAAGGCAATCTAAAGACTGAATATTTGCAAAACATTTATCTGATAAAAGACTGTTATTTAGAAGACATGAAGAATTCTTACAGTTCATTAAGAAGATATATAACCCTATTAAAAATGTGCAAATCAATTAAAGAGACACTTCACTGAGGAAGATATACAGTTAAGCACATGAAATGCTGCTCAGTGTCATTAATCATTGGGGAAATGCAAATTCATTCCCAATGAGGTACTACTATACACACAATAGAATGGCTGAAGTTTAAAAGACTGATGATGCATTGACAGGGATGTGGAGCAGCTCTAGCATTCCTTTACTGCAGCGGGAATGCAAAATAGCATAACCACTTTGCAGAACAGTTTGACAGGTTCTTATAAATTAAAACTAGAGGCCAAGTGCACAGATTCATGCACCAGTGGGGTCCCTCAGCCAGGCCTGCTGGAATCGGGTTGAAACTGGCTCTCTGACATCCCCCAAAGGGTCCCAGATTGCAAGACCCCTCTTGAATGTTCAGCCCCCAAGACCTGGATGCCCACTGGCTCCCTCCTCTCTCCTCTCTGGGTCCAGGGTGCGGGTAAATGAGATTCAGGGCAGATAGTGCCCCAGCAGCAACCTTACCCATAGCCAATACCTCAAGGAACCAGGCTTTCTTCTCTGGATGTAGTGTCTGCTCCCTGGTGGTCATTGCGCGTCATAGCTACTGGGCAAACAGTCGAACGGTTGGTCAGTAGTTTAGGCTTTTTTATATTTAGACTAGAGGCACGATGCACAAAATTTGTGCAAGA